TTGAAAAATTTGAACGTTCACCGAGGGCAGTTCACGAATATGATGTGTAGTTGACAAACACCGGCGCAAAACCGTTACACCTCCAGTCGATGATGACGGTTTTTAATAACGGTTTGCGTTCAGTATAAAATAATCATCTGATTCAAGAGCCGATCAACCGGTTTGCCATTCAAAGCCAACAAACAGTTTAAATAAGTTAGTGAGAAATGACAACAATAAGACCCCACTATTCGCGGGGAGGGGATCTACATACTTTGTTGAAAGCTATCCCGTGATCCTGGTACAGATGAAAAACACCCAGTGTGCAGAAATCTCATATAAGTGAGAAATATAATGTAACATTATATAATGATAGTATTAATATTAATAATAGTACGATTCGATAATATCCCTCTTTAAATGCTGGAAGTACGCTTGGATAAAACATTAATGCGAAGCTAACGAACATCGTTATTATTATTGTCATGGTTACGTGCCAGTCGCATAACTATGACTGATCAAACCGTTGTACAGAATTTGTAAAGAAAATGTTCAAGGGTATGAATGTTTTACTGAAACGAACTCAACACGAAAAATACCCGTGCGAAAAGTACACTTTTCCTATAAAGCTTTAGCCAAAAGCCGTAGTCCTTTAGCCTTGACGCATAAACTTAAGTCATGCCGCTGCGTGGGCAAGTCAGATCAAAAGTTATCAGAATATTCAGAAACATATTGAAACATATTATTTTCTACAAATGTTGATGTTGCAAAACTTTATTAAGAAATGAAAAGGTGTGGCAATCGTCAGTTGTACAGTTGACTGCCGTGGTGCTATCGAAGGCTGCACCACCACACGTGGATTGGAGAACGTTTAAATGACGCGCCCGTATCGTCAAACCATTTGGCACATCTCAAATGGCTTCAGTGATTTCAGTGAGATAGTTTGTTAATGTGGCAACGAATAAGCGAATTAAAGTATTGAAAAGGCTTAATTTCCCCGATGAACTTGGTCTCAGTAAGTACCGCGTTGAAGGAACTCTGAAGCCGCTTCGGAAGGCGGATATATGTTTGTTATTTTAATCTCTACTGGCCGTACACATTGCAACTCAGAGGATGTTTTCTGCCAATACAAAGACTTTACTACTATTCCGCGTGTTGGACACACTCGAATCAAGATGCAATGAAGTTGGAACACAGGTGTAACCACCATAAACGCTGTCCAATGCTTTGCTGTAGCTGCCGTTTCCCAACAATAAAATTGGACACAACCTATGGTTCACTGTCCGCTCAAGGTTGGTGTGGCTGAGGTCAAAACGGTCAAGCGCGCAGGTGGATTCCGATCATCATTATCATCGGTTTGAGCTGGATTTACTGAGATCTAGATCGATTGGGACAACGTAAAATATGAGCACAACAGGCGTCACAACTCAGAAAACAGTCAGCAACATAAAGTCAGTGGTAAAAGCAGATTTCGTAGCAGGTGGGATGAAAGTACGGTAGAGTAAGTGATCTCGAACCCGGAAGGGGCCAGTCGTAATGGTCAGTATCAAGAACATGCAGCTGAGAATGACTCACACCTACTGATCACTCCTCGTCAAATAACCGATTGCAAAATCGAAGCCACGCGAGAGAGAGAGGGATACAAATTGTAGGGTCTAAGGCGGTTCAATGATGCAGCAAGGACAACTAGACCTAACACATACGATGTACAGAGTGAAGACGGGTCTGCACTAGTTCTCATAGACAGCAACATAGGCTAACGGATATACCTGTGATAGACAGTATGGACTGAGAGGGCACGGCAGAATTGTTTACCACCAGCAAGTCCCAATGGACTGATGGTTCAGACGAAGGATATGGTGACTTAGTTCCATCGACCATTGTTAGCTGAGTGTGGATGAAACCCATTTGTCGAGAATCTATTTACGATGTTACATCAAAAAAGGAAGGATTAATAAGTCGGGAAAATTGAAGATGTGATAGTGAGATTTCCTGTTACCTCTCATGTTGCACTACCGGGGAACCATATTCGAAAGCAATTTTGGGTGATGGAACAAGGGAGCAGCATACCGGTAGTGCTAAACCAAAGTAGATACGGGGATTCGGAACATCCAGTCAATTCGTACGTATGAAAATAATTACACAGTGGGTGGTTTATGACTTTCCTCCTGTTTTAAGCAGTTGATATCGGTGCGCATCGGCTCCCGATATCTCAGACTTCAGCCCTGTCATTCAACTACAACAGTAAACAGTTTCAGTGCCATCTGTCTCTCAAGACCACACCTGTCCCGTCGGGGAGATATGTTCAGTACCTGGCGGGTTAGGTTTTCGATTTTATCAACTGAACCATGGATTCCGGTGCTTAATGGGGTCAATACGCTGTGATGAAAAGTAACTGGGGAAGAAAAACCCATTGGATGATTGGGATCGCTGAAAAGCATGGCTTGACGTTGTGTGGGTCTCTGACAGTCCCCAAGACCAAATTTTCGAGCTGTATCAAGTCCTGCGTCGTCGACGGACGATCGTAGTGTTCTTGGACCCAAAAAAGTCAACGACTCAGTTGACCGCGAAGTCCTTATGGGTTCGCCACTTCGTAAAGGAATGCCGCTGACGTATGTAAAGCCACCGAGGTCACTCTACTCGCATAAGTCTGGTAGCGTAAAGTTCTTCGGTGAGCTAAGTAGGTCGTTCGCACCTAGCAGCGATAACCGTCAAGGATATCCTATTTCACCATTCCTGTTCGATTTCGTCATAGACGAAATACTGGAGAACGCACTAAGTGTTCTCCAAAACGTAGGTATGGATTGGGCAGATGGAGAAAAGCTGTGCGACTTAGAGTACGCCGCAGACATCATCCGTCTGTTCGAGTGTATGGAAGACGCTCAAAGCGCACTTGATGGACTAGCAAGTGCTGTTACCCCATGCGGCGTTCAAAGTGCAAAGTGATGCTGCAAAACTGGGTGTCGCCTAGTCCCGCTCTGAAACTGAATGGCCAGGAATTAGTTATAATGGATCGCCATTCACCATCTATAGGGGAGTAGATTGGTGTAACTCTGCAGTGAAAGAATTCAGGCTAATAGCTCTTATATTATTTTGGCTCAGGAGATGGATTAGCGTATTATTTCAGGGTGTATAGCAGAAATGAACGTGACATGTAAAGCCCAGCGATTAACCGATCCGGGAAATGCTACATTGTTCAATACAATCTGAAATCAACGTCTGTGGACAACAATCTTAAGAGGAATTAATATACTTTGATATTTCAAAGGATGGTTCCCAGTGTGGCGAAACATCTGTGTTTCTTTTGGAGATACACATTAGGAGAAATTAGCAGAAATATATCTGAAATATATAGCGAATTTCTTGCATTTGCTTTGATAACTGCTAGTGTTGAGATAAAAGACAGTTCGGGGAACGGAGGGGAGGCAGTGGAAGGGAGCGGGGCTTAATGAAAACATGAGAAGGGAAAACAATACCAATAAATTCCGAATCAAAGAAAACATTCCCATCAGTCAATCGATCACATTCAGAACTAAAGACTAATATGTTTTAATAGGTGGGCACTTTGT